GCAGACTTACATCCTCAGAGGGTTTGTTCCATAAACTCCAGTGTGTTAATGTTTCCAAAGCATGTTGAAAATATAGTCCTGCTGTTTTTACAGAATGATGGATAAAGCCAATTTGAAATTGGGGGATGGGAAATACAAGACTTCTTCCATATGCCATTTACAACTTTGTTTTTGGGGGGTTTTTTACCCAGTAAATGAGAAGAGTGGTGATTCCTCAAAATTCTTGAGTAATGTCAGAAGTATTACTAACAACCATATATTAAAGTGTTGTTGTGGTTCCCCCGCCATTCCTGCGTATGGAGAGTTGGGGCTATCTTTAAAACGAAATTTGACAACTTAAAGGCTTGTCTATACTGCAACCATATGCGACCAAAACGCTGGCTTGCATCCATAGATGCTTCTCAAGCAAATCCCGGGACGTCATTCTCCCCCTGTACTCGGCCTTAGTGAGGCCGCAGCTGGAGTACTGTGTCCAGTTTTGGGCTCCACAATTCAAAAAGGATGTGGAGAAGCTTGAGAGAGTCCAGAGAAGAGCCACGCGCATGATTAGAGGTCAGGGAAGCAGACCCTATGATGACAGGCTGAGAGCCCTGGGGCTCTTTAGCCTGAAAAAGCGCAGGCTTAGGGGTGATCTGATGGCCACCTACAAGTTTATCAGGGGTGACCACCAGCATCTGGGGGAACGTTTGTTCACCAGAGCGCCCCAAGGGATGACGAGGTCGAATGGTCACAAACTACTTCAAGATCGTTTCAGGCTGGACATAAGGAAAAACTTCTTTCCTGTCCGAGCCCCCAAGGTCTGGAACAGCCTGCCACCGGAGGTGGTTCAAGCGCCTTCATTGAACACCTTCAGGATGAAACTGGATGCTTATCTTGCTGGGATCCTATGACCCCAGCTGACTTCCTGCCCTTTGGGCGGGGGGCTGGACTCGATGATCTTCCGAGGTCCCTTCCAGCCCTGATGTCTATGAAATCTATGAAATTAGATGGTGTTTTAATTGATTTATTTGTGTTAGTTTTCTTAGATAACCGTCTTGTCAATAAAAACCATAAATAAGGTAACCGAAACAAACTGTTGGCAGTTCATATTACATGATGATGACGAAAGGAGATAAGGAATCATAGATTCATAGATTGGGAATCTTCCCTTGCAGAAGTGTAACTTTCACAGGAACATAAATCCCAACTAACTGACACCTTCCAAGTACAAGAGATCTGCTTCAGTCTGGTCCCAACTGTTTCCGTGAGAATCAAATCAATCAAAGGACATTTATTAAAATATTAAAACAAGTCTTCTATAAATATAGGGTAGAGGCTGGAGGGAAAATGGGCGAACTCAGCAAATTCATGCAGGCTTGCTGCCAGCCCGTGTGTGACTCTCCTTTTCTCCTCTCGAGTCTATCCAAACAGTGCAGATACATGCTGTGTTGTCCTGAGCAGCCAGATAGACTTTGGGATAACTGTTTTTGAGACATAAGCAATAGAAGGTCAGGCTCTGGACCTGTCTGTGTCCTCTTTTATCAATAGCCAAACTTCAAGTTTACCTATAATCCAGATAGCAATTCTCTGTCTTGTGGACTACAGAAACACGTGCACTCGAACCATGCCAGCTCTATGGGCTGTGAATCTTATGAAGACACTTGTCTATAGAAACAAGGATGCCGTGGCTTAATTGCAACCCACCACGTGGAAGAATCCTAACAAAATATTGAAAATGAACGTGAAAAATTACTATAGAAAGAGCATGCACTTCACCCGATAAAACTGTGATGAATGCTGATACCAGGTGCCTGGACGAAATGTTCAATTCATTTCACAGTGCTGATCAGCATAGAAAGAACAGTCCTGGCTTTCTGGAAGAAAGGAAGAAAGAAGGTAAATAACCATGTTTAGATAATAGGTACATTTTACAGAAACAGCAGTAAAAGTGGTTTGGGACATGTTTTCCCTGTCAAGATTTCAATGTCAGGTTTTCCCTTCACATTTCTTGTTGTCTCTGCCGGTTCCATAATCCTGTATTTCATTCAGTCAGTGATTAGGTTACGTGATCTTAAGTGTCACGATTAAAGCCTGAGCAAGTCATGCAGTTAATTTAAAAACCGACAGATTGCACAAACTTTATTAAGCCAAAAAATGAGGTTTGCAGCAATGCACAAGCGTGCCTTGGTATGTGAGAGTCATCCTGAAATACAACATGAATATTTTCTGTTGGACAAAGTCAACATTTATTTTGCTAGGCTTTTCCATAAAATGATAATGTTGCAAAAAATCATATTAATTCAGTGCAGGAACACTGAGATCTGGTATTTTGCTGCCAAATTCCCCCTCTTCCTAATTTTTATCCCCATATATGTGCTTGACATGGAAATACATTATTTCAATAGACTGGCAATTCATGAATAAAAATACTATTGCGTTTGAGATGGTGTTGGCTGTCATTTCCATTTGTACAAATCATGAACTTGAGAGTATGGAAGTGCCTTGTTACACCTGACACAGTAGCCCATGCAAATGTTGATGAGTGTTAGTGCTAGCTCGAGTTTGGAGCAGTCACCTGTTCAGGACAGCAGGGACCTGGAGGACTGAAAGGTAAGAATCCCGCTTCCCATTCTTTCCTTCTGCAGCTTCCCCAGCAATCCTCCACCCCCAGGGCTGCCCCCACCTTGCTTACTTATGGCTGCCTGCACTGTCTGTCCTGCCTGCACAGCTCACACCTCTGGGTTGCTGCTCTTCTTCAGGCCCAGACAGCAGCAGCAGTGGAGGTCAGGCAGGCAAGTTAACCCCTCCTGTCTACTCCTCCAGGGCAGCCACAAGGAAATGGGGGGGAGGGAGGGGAGATGGGGAGATAGTGGGGTGGGATTTGGGGTCATGGGAAGGCGGTGGGGGGTTGTCAGTGGACCTGATTGGGTTAGCAGGGGAGTGGGGCTGTGAATTGGGTGTTTACACTAAAGTAGTGGCTTACACTTTAGTGTAATATGAGCTGGGTAACATGGATTAGAGATAATCATGCCCTGGAGTAACTTTGAGCTGCATAATGAATGCTTAAAACCAGTTTCAGGTGTTAATGTGTGGACAATCCAGGTGTTACGAGCTCCAATACTGGGTCAAAATTACCATGTAACAAGGCCTGAAGAGTCAGGAGATTAGGGTCCAAATTTTTGGTCTTTCCCTTACTTCTTGAGTATCTTGAGTGTCTTTGAGTGCATTTACACATGCAGTTAGTCACAACTAAATTTACTGTGCATTAAGCTAATGCACTATAAACAATTTTTGGCAGGTGTGTACACGTGCAGGGAGTTGGCACTAAATTTAGTGCCAAGTCCCTTCAGCCCTGCCATAGGCTCCTGTGGCCCCTGAGGGGAGCTCCATCTGCTCCATCAGCACTTGGCAGCCAGCTTGGAAACACAGCCTGCCCTATGAACCCTGGCCAGACCTTTCCCTGCCCAGGAGCCATGAGCCCAGCACAGAGGCAGCATATGGGAGCTCTCTCCTTGCCCACCCTGCCTACCCATGCCAAGGCTGCTCCATCTCCTGCCCCTGCCTTTCTCAGTGACACCCAGTGCCCTACTGCTCCAACCAAGAACCTGCCAGTGATGACTAGTGCCCCGCACACCTGGCCCCAGCAGGTGCCCCCCATCCAAGCCCCAGGAGAGCCGCACACCCACCAGTGGGGGCCAATGCACTGGGTACAGGAGATCCCGGCCAACCTCCTACTCCTGCACTCCCTGCTCCAGCCCACCTGCCCCACCACCCACACACTCTCAGGACACACACATTTGTGAAACAAAAAAAGCTTTATTCGTTTCACAACACCCATCCCCATCCCTCCCCCCTCAACACATAGAGCCCTCCCTGCCTTCCTCCCCAACAAACAGAGCCTCTCCACCACCCTCCCCACCCACCGACAATAAAAAAATCTACTTTATCATGTCAAAACTATTTACAACATCTCTGTTTTCCTGTCCCAGAGTGGGGGGAGAGGGAGCACGTAGGATGGAGGGGGGCTAAGGAGCAGGTGCCCAGCACCTCAGTCTTGGGCTGTTCCCACATGGGTCTGGGGGCCATGGCAACCCCACTGGGAAGGAGAGTGGGATGGGGCACTGACGGCCTGAGGTCCCTTCCTCTGGTGATATGCCACTGGAGGGAGCAGAACAGAGTGGGGGCTCGAGCAGGCCGCCTCTGCTGGTGACACTTACAGGGGTATGGTCTGGGTCCCATGGCACCAAAATCTGAGTCAGCTCCCACATAAAGGCCATGATCTTGTGGGCATGATTGGACCAATGATTGTAGTTGGTCATGGCCATCCACTATGGCCACAGGGCCCTAACCTTAATGCAGCACTGCTGCACTGACCAGGAGTGCCCTCACTCCTGCATGCTAGGAGTGACCAACAGGACAGGTTAGCCATTTTTACTGTGCAATAAAGGCATGCACATGTAGATACATGCCCTTTCTATAGAGTAAACTAAGCTAAGGCACATTAATATGTCTCAGGTAGATGTGCCCTTTGTGTAGCAACTTCACTTCTCAGATCTTCTATTTTCTTTCTGTCAGGCTTGTCTGTCTTACCTACTTAAATATTAACCTGTTTGGGACAGGGCTTGCAATGTCACAATGGGTTTGTACAGTGCCTATGTCGGAGGGGCAAGATATGTGGATGAGGTCCTCATTGTCCCAGTGTCTTGTAGGTCTGCGTCGCAAGCCAGAGCCTTTTTGCCTTGAATAATTAACCGATGATCACAGTTTCATTCTCACCTGCTATGTCTTGATGTCACTTATAACTCAGGAAGAATTGCTCTGTTGGAGGTTAATCACTAGGGCAGCTTGCCTGCTCTTACTGGGTCTCCAACCTCCCCTTACATCCTAGCCAAACACCAACCAGTTGTTAATATGCGATTGATAGTTGTGTAATATTCCTATGTCAAAATTCATTTCTCCTCCTTGAAAATAGTTCCTGTCTCCTGTTTATCCTCAGGCTATCTCCAGCTCACAAGGCATATCACAGTGTCTGCAGGGGGGGAGTCCGCCTCGCTGGAGATAGGGTGAAGTGGCATTTCGAGTGACTGGCATCGGGTAAGTATTCACCCTTCAGGAATTTACAGTCTATTTGCTTCCCAGCAGTTTTCTCTCTTTATTTTTGTTCCCCCCAGCTTCCTGCTTGGGGTCTTGTGTTTTACCCATCACCCTCCCTGGGATTTCATAAAAAAAAAAAATACAACTCACGATCAGCCGGCACCATCTGTGCTGCTACTTACAGTGTGTTAGGTACTTAAAGTCCAACTCCCTTCTTTCTAAGGAAGCCAAAGCCAGCCGTTTCCCACTGTCTTAATCTTTACTTACAAGTTAAATAAACCTGAAGTTCCAGAATGGAGAAAACAAATAAGGGAACTTTCCTGTCTGTCCGGCATCCTGTAGTTATTTTTTCCTCACCTCCGGGTTCAGTGCTCTAACAAGCCATTCTGCATTGCCCGAGGTCCTCTGAGCAAAAAGACCGGGATCCAGTCTTTTGCCCTGTTCCCGGGGTAAATCTGATGGGTTTCAGGGAAAAGATCCCACACTCTCCTGCTCCCTCTCTCCAGACAAGCTTCCTGCCAGGGTAGATTCCTCCCCAGAAATAAGGTAGGGGTGGTGTGGGACACTAATTCAGATAATCTGGCTGCTAGAAAGACCTTGTTCTGGCCACGGTGGCATTCCTCATGTCAAGGTCACTTCTACCCATGTTGTTAAGTTTTCTTCAGGTTTCTTCTTCATCTCTGAAGAATCACAGGGAGCCTCTTCACACCTACTGCTGTGGGTCTCAACCTTTTTAGACTCAAAGTGCCCCTTGTTATACTCAAGGCACCTCTTGGAAAATTCCAGCTCTTAGCTTTCACTTGTTTTTTTTCATTACCGAAAAAGAATAGAGCAATTCTTCCATTGCAACGAACTCAAGAAAACTACAACAGGCAAGGATGTTTTTGCACACTGGACTCCTATTTGAAATCTTTGGGTTTATCTTGGGAAGGTATTTGCAAACCTAATACCAATACTGTGCAGCACCCTATGGCACTTTATAAAGGTTCTCCCAGCACCCCATTGTTCTGTGGCACCCCAGCTGAGAAGCATATATTAAAATACATCATCAATGTTAGTTTAAGGAGGTATGTAGGTAGAGTGGGAGGACATCAAAGAGAAGGAAAGAGGGACAATATTTTTAATTTGAAGTCACTCGAATCATCTTTATTTCACTGGACCAGGTGTATTGCAAGACTGCTATTCTGTTAATTAAAGAAAAAATATTCCAGTCACAGACCAATTCCATATCACAACCGTTTGTTTTTTTTTATTAAGCACAGTTCTATTTACATCAAAAGTGCAAGCACTTCATTCACACAAATCATATTTGCTATCATAATGATAACTTTTAGAAGTAGAACACAGAATGATGCTGCCTTTGTCATCCTTCTCTGTAGTGCTCTTTTCTACTGAATCAAACAAATATCAAAGTGGGAACAGCAGGCTGGGAAGAGGTTGTTAATAGAAACATTTCGAATGGACCTGAGTAGTGTGAAAAGAGTGTCAGGAAGGCCAAAGGGAAGTAGGTTACAGTTATAAAAATGGTAAATCACGGAATCATAGAAAATTAGGATGGGAGAGAACTCAGGAGGTCACATCTAGTCCATTTGCCTACTAAAAGCAGGGCCATCCCCAACTAGATCATCCCAGCTAAAGCTTTGTTGAGTTAAAATAAATTAAATAAATAAATTAATATGAATAAATAAAATACAATAAGCTTGTTTTCCTTGACCATTCTTACAGCTGGTATTTTTTTTCGCAACATTATTATTGCAGTATATGGTGAAAATTCAGGCAATATGTGAAGGAAGAAGAGAGTCCTCTAATGTCATAACTACTGAAGTAGCTGTATACTCCAGCAGCACTGTACACTGTATACTTATTCTGCAAAGCACATGGTTGAGTTCCCATTAATTTCACGTGCTTAAACATTCAGCTGAATCAGGGACCTACCAAAACTCATTCTTTCTACAGTATTTATGTGCTAAAAGAAAGCATCACAGAGATAATGAATAAAATAGAGTTTAGGGGTTGATCCATTTCAGAAAGTTGTCTGAGACACTCGCTCAGGATACTTGGAAGAAACATTTTTTTTAAAGACATGTGATGTGGTAGGATCTCTCAGATCACTCTGAACAACAAAACATGCATGCAAAGTCCTCTGAAATTATTTCTAATTGATCAAAATTATACACTCCACTTTTATGTGGTGCCAGGGCATTTAAGTGTCTGTTCACATTTAGGTACTCAAAAGATTCAACATACATTAAAAAGTTTTAGCTTATGCTTTGATTTTTAAAATTGC